GGATGAGGTGGGACCCCCACCTGCTGCCTCCCAGGCAGCAGCTCCTCCACCAACACAGCCCACCTACCCAGAGACCAGCCGATTCCTATCCTCCCAACTCACCCCTGCAGCTCCCAACTGCGGAGCAGGTCTTCCGCTTGTGGGAGCAGAACCGTCCCTACGCAGCTCCCCCACATACACCTCTGCTGTGAAACAGCAATTTAAAAATGGGGAACCACAAATTGGAGCTCTGGGCTGCTCTCAGAGGAGCTCTCCTCCCTGGAGCAAGAGGCCCTCACCCCCTCCCTGCACCCAAGATGTGGCTGTGTCCAGGTGACCAGAGGCTGTCCTTGGGGTACCTGCACCAACCGACACCCGCCGTGCGGATCGGGGCTGCCTTACGCTGCTCCTGGTGACCATGAAGACAAAAACCACAGCGAGCTTTAAAACAGGTACAGGCTAACTGCTGAGAAGCCCTTGAGAAGTCAGCATGCTGCTGGGCTGGGCTGCACAAAAGCCTTGCAGCAAAATAACTGCTGACTGCAGCTCAGAGCCGCTGTTTTGGTGCAAATTATTTTATTTCAGGGAAGGGGAAGGGATTGAACTCAGGTTGTGGAAAGAGGAAGGCAGGAAATCAACACCTACAAAGCTGGTGCTGAAACAGCGCAAGAGGCAAATCACCGTGCACAGTGCAGTCACCTACATGTGCGGAGACCCAGCACAAACGTCATTATCTGATGCTGAACCCATCCACTCCCAGCGGAGGCTGGAAGACCCCATCTCTGCCCCACTCAGGATCACTTCTTAAACACAACGTGGCTGCACAGCATTTACTCTCGCACCAACAGTGACACATCCAGCACAAAAGCCAGAGTGAGCAACACAAACAGTTCCAGAGCCCTCAACAGAAACATTCGACTCAGTAAATACAACTCACGCGGGTGGCGATGAGCAGCTCACAATATGTCACTTGCTGCCTCTACCTCAGTAAAACCCACGCAACCAGCATGCCAGAGTGACAAGTATTCCAGGAATATTTTCTGCATTAGTCTTAGCTATCCGTTAACTTGTCACCATTGCAGATATTATATATTTCCAAACAAATTCCCGTGATGACAGTGAAAATGCAGATAATATATGTCCTATGTGCAGAGGACATAAAATATTAAAGAATATAGAACATTCTATAGAAAGCCAGCAAGTTTCCCATGCGTTCAGTTCAGGGTATTAACTCCAGCTGTAAGAAATACCATCTTCTTGATGCACAGAAAGTGGGGAAAGAAAGGAAACAGCTACTTTACAACTATTTCCACAGAAATAAAAGCAGGTATTTGTGGATGGGAAGGAAGACAAATAGGAGCAAAGCCATGAGCAAGGGGTTACAGTGGGATCCTGTGGCTGAAAGGCAGACACGATGCTTTTCCCACTTCAGAGGAACATAAAAACTTCCTTCTGTCTGGGTCAGCTGGCCATAAAAGCAAAACAAAGCTATCTATCATGCAGGAGGAAGTTGTAAAGACAACGCGCAACCCTAAGCCGCAGTCTGCAATGAGGACATGCATCAGAAGGTCACTACAGCTTGTGGGGACACTTAATATGGAAATCTGCTTTTGCAAACGCCGCTGCTCCTATTTTACAGGAGCAAGGCCAGGTGGCTCCCTGCAATGCCTGACATGTAACATAAATAACAATCAAAAATAAAAACAGAACACACTTACGAAGACAGCACTATGGCAACGGCATCATTGAGGACGCTTTCGCCAAAGAGAAGGGCATACAGCTCAACATCAACCTGGAGTTCATGGAATATGGCAAGAACAGTCACTGACAAATAGAAAAATAGAGAGACATTCAAAAAGGTGCCGTTATTTTGGTGTAATCAAAGACAAAACACCCCTTTTTTAGAAAGCTGCCTTCCTGCATGTCTGTGCCACTCTGGGGCAATGGTGCCAGCCGCCCCCCGTGCTCACTTTGATAGTCTTCCTTCTACCCTTTCAGATCTGGATTTGCTTTATCCTTTCCCTCCTCCTCCTTTTACTCAAACACACCCTGGGCATTAGGTCTACTGAGTCTCTAGCAGGCAGACACAAGCAAACCCTGCTCTGAGCTTCCTGAGGCTCTGAGCTCGTGGGCTGGACCACGGTACCATGCCGACAAAGAGCCACCCAGCTTTTGGCTTGCCATTAGCTCAGAGCATCAGGGAGAGCCTTCCTCCACCTGCAGAAAGCCAGGAGGATGCAGGCTTCTCCCGGACGATGGCTGGCTTTTCCTTCCATCCCTGATACTCTGAGAGAAATCCTCAGATTCAACACAGGTAGACACACTGGAAGTCCCAGAACAGACGTGTCAACACGTCAGACCTAACTGGGAAAAGCCAGGCATCGGTCCAAACCCCATGTGAGGGTTTCTTTTTATTTATGGCCACATGGCAGAGATCAGAGTACCCTCAAGCCCTTTCGCGATCCAGAGGCTCCAAGAAGATGATGAAAATGCAGCAGGTTTTGTGTATCAGCCTTGCAAAAACATCACAACATCTAAAGCAAGCGAGATGTAACACATGGTGCATCATGCACAGCTCAGGCTGCTGCGGAGGGCTGAGCTAATTTCAAGCAACTTCTGTGAAAGTCTTTTAAAACAGCATTCAGGGACTCAGCTGTGCACACCGAAGGGGGTTTAACCCATTTACACACAGGGAAATGCTCCACTTGTACCTGTGAAATCTCCTTGTTCCTATTTTGAAGCCTGAAGAACAGACGCAACGCCAACAGCTTGTCTGGAACATTTCTAAGCATTACTTCTACCTACGGTCCTCGCCTGGCCTCTGCCCCTCAGCCAACAGATCTACCACCCTGTCATCACATCTGTGAGGTGCTCCCTGCTTTGCAAACACGGCCCCCTCTCGATGTCAACACCCAGGCTAAGTTACGGGGAGGATGCTCAACCTCGCAGCCACATGGGAACAGCTCCCCACTAAAGGAACCAGTGGCCTGAACACACGCCCAGCCAAGACGCGTTTGGAGAAGCTGGGAAATAATTTTACCTTATTATTTAAGTTGGTTTTTTAAAAAAAATTAAAAAAAAATCAGCAGTAATAGCCACACCACTACCTGGCAAATCTTAGGGAAACATCAAAAATAAATTATTAAAAACTCATGGGGAATTAACATCTCACATCTCCACCTGGCAAACAGATGCAGCTACAGCCACGTTATGCCGCAGGTTATGTCTTGCAGCGTTATTCTTGCATATATGCATATACATACAACGCTCCTCATTTTGCCTTTGCAAACAGAAATGACTCATTGCTAACATGAGCAGGTAAAAGTCCCAATTCATCTGGAAACGACAGCCACTGGCACTTGTTTCAAAAGGGCAGAAGACTTGGCTTATCCAGGCGTGCAATCTCTCCCTTCCGTGCAAAACTGCATTTCAACAGGTCCGCCAAAGCTACTGTAACATTGGGAAGGGGGCGATGCTGCCACCCCCCAGTCCCAGCATGTTGGTCTCAAACACAGCAGCCAGGCTGCAAAGGCAGAAATTCAAGCCCTGTTCAGCAAGGGGCAGGAGGAAGGAGAAGCCTTTTTGTCATCCTGTGTTTTTAGGTGAAGCTGGAACATGCAAATGAACAGCTACTGTGTAAAAGTAATCATGAACGAAGTGAAATCCAGTTGGACAAGGGATGTTTCTCATAGTTTTAATTTCAGAGCGCTTCAGCAGCTCAGGCTGTCACTACTGTCCTCAGTACTGCTTGTTAAGATCAACTTTCAATTAGATTAGCACCTTCCAAAATCCCTCCCAAATGGAAGTGGAAGGAAATCAGCTAAACTAACCAAAACTATCAAATAAGCCCTCCCCACATCACACACCTTGTTCTGCATCAGCTGTTGGCACAGCATGGCAGAACCACAGTGGACCTGTCCCAAAACCCAGCAAAGTCAAGAGAGAGACTGCCAGGGCTTTGTGCAAACAGAGATTTAGGAAAGCAGGGGTTTGGAAGGTATATTACACCTAAGTGGAAGGAAATAAAAAGGCACAGGGACAAATCTGACCTCTAGGAATGTGGCAAATACATGAAACTCCAAACTTCAGAAAGAGGAAACTTCCACAGGTTCAGACTTTCTTCCCCTCTTCACAACTCAAAACAGATCAAATAGGTAAAAGGAGGGGGAAAATAACCATCGAACATACCTGGGTCAGTAGCCGACACGATGGCACCGAACAGGAGGCAGTCAGTGAAGTAGAAGTCTCCCCCGAGCTGCCCGGTGACTTTCATCAGCGCCACGCAGCCATACACAACAGAGCTGGTGATTAGAAGAGGCAATTACTCATCTCTGCAGTGAATGAAAATGACATTCGAATGGGCTTGATTCCCCTGAATCTGTCAGATTAACCCCTAAAGTTATCCAAACGCTGGAACTCCACAGAACTGTACTGGACAAGCTGAGCCTGGTGAAACACCCCAGGGCCACAGTCTCGGAGGCAAGTGCTGGACCACGCACACCAAAGCATCCACTGCAGCGGACCACAAACACAGCACCAGTGGGGAACTGGAATGGAAGCTCCCCCACAAGCATAATACAACTAAAGAAAAGCAGCAGCCAGGCTCGTGGGGTCTCGCCATCATTTTGCAGCGTTTCCCATTAACATGTTTCAGCGGGATGACCTCTGCGTGACTTTGAAATGGTCGAAAATTTCAGCGAGGAACAGATAATGCAGATGCTGAGTTTGCTTGAATCCACCGGACTCTCCAGTGGAAAGCACCCTGCGCCAGCCCGCATGTTACTGTTCAGAGCGGGAATCATCTAGCTCCCGCTGCACACAGGGATAAACATCTGAAACACAATCTGTGCTCGCTAGGCACCTGCTTCCAGCAAGCAGGGACAGGATGTGTTTATGCTTCTTTGGGCTGTGCTTTCAATAACTCGAAGTTACTGCTTTTCTTTTTCAATAAAATCTTCAGGGAAGTGTGTAACCTTCCTTGCCAGGTATACAACTACTCTGTGTGGGATGCTGACAAAGCACTATGCAATCAGATGGCCATCACCCTGTCCGCACAGCGAAAGTTTGGTCAGTAAATAGCATTATTTGCCGCTGCCCAGCAGCAGTAGCAGAGAACCTGTGTGATCTTTCAGGGCTGGGATTAGTGGCCGCAGATCTGGGCTCAGAGCACTATGCCGGGCACAGCTCAAACCCTCACGAAGAACCAGACCAGCTCCAGCTACTCACCCGATCACCAGGCAGGAAATTGCAGTGCCGAGAAACGCGTATGCTAGGATGGATCCTAGGTTTCTGAAAAAGTGCCTCTAGAAGGAGAAGACAAAAAAAAAACAAATTATATTTTGCTAACAATTTATTTCAAGCCTGCATAGGCACCCACATAGGGGCTGTAGCAGCTGGCACCCAGCTCAGACACCGTGAGCTGGACAAGCACGGCTGAACGGTGCCCAGCACAGCAGCGCACACCGCCAGACCAGCACATGTTAATGCAGCTTCAATAAAAACGCACACACCATTTTCTTGTACCTGTGTATTTAGTAAGGCGCTGTTCCAAGTCCTGGGAACTGATTTCCTAACCCAGCAACATTCCTCCTTCCTTCTCCCACAAGGTAAACACAATCATTTTCCTCTCCTTCCAAATCAGCACTTCAGAGAGCTGCTGCTTTCTAAAACCTTCCCACTCTCCTACATGTTTTGAAAGTAAGGATGGCTGAAACAGCCCAGCTGGCCTCAAAAATCCCTGAGCAAACCCATGCTGGAAATGGCTGAAGTTGCTGGCCCTTCCTGGGGCAGACGGACGGACGAGACCAACTGGGGCACTCTCAGCCCTGCTTCCTACAATCCTGCATGTACTGGGGAAAACTGTACCCAGCTCCACAGCCTGGGCCTGCTGAGCAAGCATTAAAGCACTCGCAAATATTAAAAATGCTCTGGAGGCAGAGGAACTAAAAATGTAGGTGCTGTAAAGGCACGTACCCTTTTCAAGCTGTAGCCTGCATAAAATATAATTGGAGGAAGCAAAATGTTGAAAAAGACTTCAGGATCAAAAGTCACCTGTTAAGAAAAAGAAAAAAAAAAAACAACAGTTAAATAGTTTGTTAAGACTTTGCAAGACAAAACACAAATAAGAATGTCATATAAAATACATGGAGGAAGCCCTGTACTCCCACCAGATGAAATGCTGTCGGGTGAACGCTGAGGATGTGTCCAGCATCTTTTGGAGACAGAGCCCAGAATCTAAACAGCTTCAATTAAGATCAGCCAAAACTAGAGTTTCATTACGTTGTGTTCAACTTACATTTTTATAGGTGATCACAATCTGACTGAAGCTTAAAAAAACCCACAAATTATCAAAAAATCACTTAATCCAGCAGATACAGGATCCATCCCCATGGAGGGAGTGGGAAGCATCGCTCACCTCTCCAGCTGCTGGCTCCCTTACCTTTCTCAGCATCTCATTATCCTGGACATTATTGAGCTCCTGGGCGCTGATTTCCCCCTTCAGGGTATACTCGTAGTACTTGCCGCTGACGTTCACCAGCAGTGTGGCGGGACTGGTCTGCACTTGGCAGCTCAGCGTCACGTTGTTGACATCACTGGGGACATGGATGCCATAGCGCAGGACCACGCCGACCAGGACCCCTGGGGAGGGACACGTGTCGGTGAGATGAGCCATGGCGAACTCCAAGGACAATCTCTTTGAGCATGGATGTGGCATCAGGCACTCCAGGATCCTGACCCTCTGCTCAGCTGCTGAGCACAACCACCATCCAAATAATTGCCCCGATTAAACCATCCGCATTCTCACATGAGCCATGCAAATGCTCCAAGCTCATGCTGACTTTCTAACACCAGAGAGGGACTGGTCCTGAAGGTTTTTAATCACCCAGCAATCAGTCAGACCCTCTCACTAGTACCAGACAGGGACCGGTCCTGAAGGTTTTTAATTACCCAGCAATCAGTCAGACCCTCTCACTAGTGCAGCGAACGGCCAACATTGCGAGCACGCTTGGTTTTCTTAGGACGAGCACCCTGGCATTGATGACACACAGCTGGGGACCTGGGCAAGGCACTGCTCACATGTGCCCAAACTATGCACATTGCCCCTGGAAACCTGACAGCACCACATTTTGCCACTACAGAAATACATTAAACCCTTCTTTTTGGTAGGGGATTAAAAACCACCTCCACCAACCACCATGAATGCTTTGAAGACGGTGAGCATCCTTCATAAGATGCTGCAGCACCATACAGCTTCCTCCCACAGCAGGGAGCTTTCACACTGTGTAGCAGTGATCCCCATTTTACAAAAACCATGAAAGTTTCCCAATCTGGGCCAGCCACCCGGGTCTGCTCCTCGCCCGTGCATGCTTCAGCTCCACACCATGAGCCACAGCCCCAGGGCAGCCCCGTGAGCCAGCCCTGCCCCTGGCTCAGCAGCCGCGCAGGAGTATCGTGGGGTTAATTTGCAAGTCAGCAATGTATACGGCACTTTTTATTTGCAGCACAGCTGATGAGCTGCACTCGGAGCTCTTGCATCCAGACTGACAGCATTCACACGGTGCAGGCTCCTCCAGCTCCTCCTCACCTGCGCAGCGTGCCGGCTGCTCTCCCGGCAGAGCTTTTCGACATCTGCAGGCCCGCGCAGGAGTATCGTGGGGTTAATTTGCAAGTCAGCAATGTATACGGCACTTTTTATTTGCAGCACAGCTGATGAGCTGCACTCGGAGCTCTTGCATCCAGACTGACAGCATTCACACGGTGCAGGCTCCTCCAGCTCCTCCTCACCTGCGCAGCGTGCCGGCTGCTCTCCCGGCAGAGCTTTTCGACATCTGCAGGCTGGGGAGGAGGGATGTCCTGCAAGACACCTTTCCGTGCAGCCCTCAGCACAAAAGAGTTTGGAAACTGGCATGCTGAGCTGCCACAGAAATCCCGGATCTGAACCCCACCTCTGAACCACACATTCATGAAAAGCTTTCAGCCACGTGGGAACTAAACAGAGACCACAACACTGGGAAGGCTTCTCCATGTGCCTCCCAGGATGCTCCTGCTCCTTAAGTAAGCTCTTGCTCTGTGCTTTCCTACAGGCAGGGCACAACCCCGACCAGAGGAACACCAAACTGCTCCATCTCACGGGAGCAGAGCCTGGGTGGGAGCTCTGCCGTGGCCGGCAGCAGACCCTGGGGCCCTGGCGCGTTCGGCATCTCCTGCAGCCAGTTCCCAATCTGCCACCTGGTTTTTGCCTTCTCTTCCTTTGACAGCACTTTTCCAGGACAAGAGTCACTCATTTTGCCGATGGCCAGAAGGCAAGCCCCCACCTCCCGTCCCAGGGGATGTCACGCGCAGCGGGGCCACCCAAGCACCCATCCAGGCCGTGGGCAGGGGCAGAAGAACCGGCTGCCCACAGTCTCACCGCTGCTAACCCATCACACCAGTGACACAGATGGCTCCTCTGGGGGACCAGGCTGACTGACCAGGGAGCTGCACCTAGAACCCAGTCCCTGGTCCAGTGCAGCTCTTCTGCAGCACAGCTCAGCTGCTCTCGCAAAGCTGCCGATGCTTTTAACCCATGTACAGTCAACCACGTGCTCAGCACATGCTCTGGGCTTTATCCTGCACTGCACCATTGCCACAGCATCACCCTGACAGCAGCAGCAAAGGTCCCTCTCGGTGCACAACCAGGCACAGCCAGCTCCAGCAAGGAGAGCTGCTGCAGGGCACATCACACTGTGCTGAGCATCTAAGAGCTGCTTTCACACCAGCATCACTAAGAGGGGATACCAAAGAGGAATCCTTTTGCTTACTTTTCTGCTAGTCTCTTTGTTCCTGTGATCTTCCAGTGCTCCGGAAATACAAGCATGGAAATGAAGGCACGGATGTCAAGAGCACTGAGATGCCACAGCACGTATTTACATGAGCATGTGGTGGGGGGCTCATGGCACCACAGCCATGTCAGGACAAAACACCCAGGCTTCCTTTCACCCAGATGACCCCCAAGGTACCACGAGATAAAGTGAGCTTCAGAGGGTTCTTTACATCTGCTGATGACTGTTAAGCAGCTTTAAACAGCTACAGAATTCCAACAAAAGGGAGGAAAGCCAGACTGGAGAGCTCATCTACCTTCTGCCCTCCCAACTGCTCCTCAGCTCCTATGGAGCAGGCAGCACCAGGCACACCGTGCTCTACAGCCCTCCAGAACCACCTGGGGTGGCTTTTAAAAAGTTGTTTTTTTTTTTTTTTAAAAAGTTTATTTTAGAGCTTCATGAGGGAGTCAGAAGCCTTCAGCAGAAGCAGCTGCCTGTCTTCTCTGAGCTGGAAACCCATCCAGCGATCCCTTTAAATGCCCAGGCTCAGCACTTTGGGATGAGAGGTAGGAGGGACGGACGGACGGACATCGCTGCTGGGGATTCAGAAAGGATCCTGACTCACCGTCTCTCCACTCCCAATCCCCGTGCCAAAGCAGCGCTACATCTGATAACACCCCTGCTCGCCCTCGCCGTCTCATTTACCCGGGCAGCTGTTCCCAGCCCGCATGCCGGTTGCAGCCAAACTCCCATTCTGGCCAGGAATAGCAGAAGGGAAAAGGGACATATAGACCTACATCATCTGCCAAGACCACTGCGCTTAGGGCTCCAAAAACCAGGCACCTCTAACATGCTGCCTGGGAGGCTCCCAGAGCAATTTGGACCTGGGTGGGAAAAGACACCCACGTGCAAAGACGCATCCGCACAAAGAGCTCTTGGTGTGCGAACCAGCCAGCACCGCCCGCAGCTCCCGACACAGAGATACCATCAGCTACTGACAGGGAACGCACGCTGCCGCTCTGCTGACAGCCAGTTACTCCACAACACGAAGATGACCCCGCCACCAGCCCCTCCTGCCCAACAGTGGATCTCTGATCAGCCCTCCCCACCCCACAACGCTCGCTGGAGGCACCTGGGACAAATCTTACGCAGATGCCAAATTTTTCAGACACAAAACACAGCCCTGGGCTCAGGCTACCTGGACCAAGCACAGGGGACCACGTAGGTTCTCCTGGTTCTGACGGTCTCGTAGGAAATGGTTCAGACTCTCTTGGCACTCGAAGGGCCATCTAGCAGCAACCCGTCAGCTGCTCCGCCAGTATCGACATGCTTTTGCAGCCAAAAGTTTTACAAAACTGAGCCCTGGGAGGGAGCAGAGCAGAGGGAACCTGACACCGGGGAAGCTGCCAGCCGAAAGCTGCAAGGAGTAGAGAAGCTAAAGGCGAAGCTGGTAAGTTAATTGAGTTATTTTATGCAAAGTGCAAGAGATTACTTCCATTGCATTCCTCCCAACTTCATTAAAAAGAACAAAAGCCCATGGGCTTTTTTTTTTTTTAGGTGCTGTTGAACATTTCCGAGGTAAAGTTTTAAATGAAGACTAATATATTACCATTCAAGCACTTAACAAATATGGAAGCACACAGGATCCCCAGGCAAGCATTAATCTGGACACTAAAAGGAACAAAAAATGTAGCAAACAACTGAAAACACTGTGACAAGAAGCAATTTAGATTTAGGGAATCCAGGGGCCAAGGGGAAACAAGAACAAGGAAACTAAACTTCTAGAGAAGCTGGTGCTGCATCTACCATCAGAGTCCGAGAAGAACTGAAACAAGATGGTTCAATTAATCATCCTGATGCCGAGCACCTCAGATGTGGGAACCTCATTTTAAACACTGAAAAGAAGCTTAGAGGCTATTAAACATCTAGTGTCTATCACCACGAAATGACTCCAGCCTGAGCCCAGCTCTTGGACACCAGCTCTGAGCCCACAGTGTGATCTGTAAGATACAAATCCACCCAGATCAAGAGCTTGTAACTTACAGTAGAAACACAGACACCGAGGAAATGGATGCATTTCAGCAAGAAGAGATGTATGCAAAAGTTTTATTTTACTTAGTTGAGGGTTTTTTTTAATTAGAAAAATACAAGCTTTGACAAATTGCTGCTCTTGCCCAGATTTCAGGGTCTGTTTTGCAACCTGCCTGCTGCAGCAGTGCCACATTTTCAGTGGACTTCCCCGGGGTAAAAGCATCGCAGGGGGCTGGGGACAGCGAAGCAGAAGTGGTACCTGCTTTGCTCCCTGCAGCTTTTAAGTCGTTGCTGTAAAACAACAGCATCTCACCACTCCTTGGGAAATTACACATCCCTTTCCCTTGGCAGCTGTCACAGCCTGAGAAGTAAATGCCAAAAGCCTTGATAGCAGAGAAAAACTTGGGATTTTCTGCATGACCAGACAGGTGACGTTACCGATTTCACCAGCAATTCTTTAAGCACAGTCTGCAAAAGAGCAGACAGAAAAGATGCATTTTACGGATCAGCAGGAGACCAAAGTGACCCGGGTCCTCTGAGAACAAGGGGAGCACTCAGGTGGCTCAGGGAGAATGGAGGGACCAAGACAAAGAAACTCCAGGAAAAGAAGAACAAGGTTAAGGGCAAGTTGGAAAGCATGAAAAGAACAGAAAGTCCACGTGCTGGTGGATTCGGGCGCAGCAGGAGCAGGAAGACCTTCCTGCTGGAAGCACGTGCTCCCCCAGCACAGCTCCCATCCCGGGGGGATGAGCACCCCTGCCCCGGGCAGGGGGCCAGCAATGCCCGCACCTGCTTCAGCGGTGGCTTCAGGAACCCAAAAAGGCAGAGCAGGATTTTGTGC